ATCAAATACTATAACACCCAAAAGGCGTTATAGCAGATTTGATCATGCACATCCCGACTTCATGTCATAACTCAATGAAACTATAAAAATGATATTTTATTTCTTATATTTATATTTTACGTTTTTACTCATGTTACAAAGAAATACAGGCATTAATCCGACTTTGATTTTGAAATGCAGAATCTACGACATCATGTGACGTACGTCACAGTCAGAACTTTCCAAATTGCTCGTGCAGTTTGCTTTCCATACGCAAGAATGTCTGCTCAATTGACCAACTGCATGTCATTGAAAATTGAATTTCAATTTTATTAGCATTGTTATATAAGGAAAGACATCAGCAAATGTAAATACTGTTGTATTATCCGTTAAATCTACAATACTTTTAAATCATGGGGAATGAGAATCACTTAGCTGTATAAGCATCAATTCATTATAAACATGTTCGCAAGTATGTATTTTATTATAATGAATACTTTTTAAGCAAATGCAGTTAAAAATTGATATGACCTTGCAAACTGAATCTCAGTGCACTAAACCACTTGAGAATGTTAAAAAAAAACGTGGAAGGCAAACAGACTGTTAAGGGCATCACTCAGACACCTTGACATGGGCATTGGAGGGTAAGCTAATTATACAATCTCTACAAGTCTCATCTGATTTACCTAAGCAGGTGATAATAAATGCACAATTCATAATGCAGAGACTTTATGAATGAATCCCGAGCTTTCCACATATTTTATAAAAATGGCTCAAGGTGTGAAATTTGTCAATGCAGTGTATACGTCTTAAAGTGGCTGGCGTCGCCAAGTCATCAAAATTCACAGAAGTAATTCTCTGTTACTCATTCCTACCTCAGGTGTCAATAAACTTTAAAAGGATGAGGAGTATTTTAATGTGAATATAAAAACCCTCTGAATTCAGCCCAGTCACTTGACAGAGCATGAGAATTTGACTATTTTACAACGTGGAACTTCTCCCATCTGATGAAAATGAAATCAGACTGCATCTGTACATATAAATTGTACATGCATTTACTGTCTACATTGTGACTGAATAGCTTTTGGTCGGCATGTATGAATTTGAAATGAGTTGACATTTAATATGAATTAATGTAAAAAAAATCATAGCAAAGTAATCAGAGTTTTGACCTTTTCATCATCAAAATTTCAAACATGTCTGTTCTTCAATGTATGCTAGTACTGAAATTCTGTGCAAATAGCATAAACAGGTCAACAAAACTGGCTAGGCAAAAAATGTACTATTGGTGCATATACATATAGAATTCTTTAAAAAGACATTTATTGCCGATGAAAAGTAAAATCTATTTAATTATCCTTTCAAATTTAGTCAGCGCATAAATCATATCAAACTGTTATGGAAGACCATGCATATTCAAATTAATCATTATCTTTCTAAAAAGGTGACCAACAGATCTGAGCCTCAGTAAAACAGGTTACCTGATACCCTTTGAAGGCATCACATAAAGAATTCAAGCAATAACTACCCTTTCACAATGTTAAATGTCAATCATGAGATTAGGTCAATGACAAAGGGGTATCTTGAACATGAACGTATGTGCTTCCTGAACCAGTAATATCTAGGACATATCTTTATAAAGAATGAATAAAGCTATATTACAGAATGTTGAGGCTACAATGTTATTCTTTGAAATTTATGACTGATAATAGTTAAGTAATTATGGTACTCTTAAAAAATTTCACTACCTTGAAAATCATTCAAAGTCATTCAGAACTTTTTTTTCAACTTTTAAAGGGTGGTCTCAAATTGCGGTATTGGCAAAAAATCACTATGCATGCTATTTCAATATAGGAATGATTATCTCATCCTCATCAAAATAATATTTACGATCTTTATAGCTTGACAAATTTAGTGTTTAACTACTATCAATATGCATTGCCAAAGAGGCTCTCCTTGACTTGACCCTGCAATAAATATCATTGTGACAAGATACTTCTATCCACATAGACACTATAGTTTACATGCATGCTTAGGATACCAGTATTTTTAAAATGAAAATCTGATTTATGACTTGGAATCTGATTAGGAAAATGTATAGATTTCTGCTTATCAAATTGTTAAAACTTAGTTCCTCTCCAAAAAACTTGTAAATTCTTCCTATGTAATTTTTTGATAATTTCACACCACTTTTGGGGGCTGAGGTCAAGCCCATAAAAATTGGGAAAAAGTTGGGAGGAATTTTAGGCAAAAATTCATACATTAAATCATAGTACATTGGGTTTCTTAAAATGTGTTTGTTGTGAACCAAATGTCTGTTTTCTGTACAGAGGAATATGAAACAAGCTCAGTTATTAATTATCTTTCTGTATGTTCTTAAATCCCAAGGAAAGATTACTATTGCAAAAATGGAGCACATTCAATTAGGGGAGAAGGTCTTTTTTTTAAAATTTACAATGGGAACATCTTTTCTTGAAAAAAAATTATGGGTTAAAAATCTAGTTTCATGTCATCATTTTAAATTGCAAAGATTTTAAGAAGAAAAAAATTTAAAAGTCATGTACTACGTAGAATAAATAATACACATCAATAAAGGTTACGAGAAAAATAAAAACATGTTTATTCTATCTGATTAACTCTGATCAAATTCTGAACATAAACATGGAATGACTTGGCCATTATAAGCCTATTTCGTGTTATTTTAAAGGCCATATCTGAGCTTCCACAAGGATTAGGTTATGCAAGTATAAAGGTCCCCCAAAGTAAGATCATGTGATTTTTATCTACCTTCTTTCAATAATGGATTCACATCCAAGAGAAAGCTTTATTAAATATTGAAAAAATATCTTATATTTGAGATCAAGTAAAAATTATTGTAAATGAAGCTAAGTTTATTTCCTTCTTTCCTCAATGAACAAATATGAGAAGTATTTTTTTTTTTTATAGAATTAAATTTATTATAATTCTTTTTATCAGAATTTAAGCTTAACACTAAACCTATTAATTTCACAGTTCCTGGATCTAACAATTAGTTTAAGCTTCTTTTTAGCAAAGTGAGATTGAGAGCCAAGAGATGATTGAACAGGCTCTTGTGTAAGGGTAAATTATGATGGTGTAAAGTTTAATGAATGGTTATGTAAAGTGAATAAATGTTGACAAAGAGCCTCTTAGAAAGAAATTTCACATTTTAAATGTTTCCTTAGTTTACTTTTTTTGTCCTAATGGAAAAAAAAAGAGTTTCAAAGGACATTCAGCAATATAAAAGATAATGCAATATGAAGACCAAATTTTACTGTCATAGCAGCAATCAATATGAAGAAAAGTCAATTTCATGCAGCTGACAGTAACAACAGTGCTTCATGTAAATCTAATGGATACAATATGCATCATACAATTAACCTAATGGTTCTGCACTTTGAATTCAAAGCTTATATAACTATTGCTTTGGGGTTTATATTTTGCAAAATTTTCATAACTTAAAAAAATACCATCTATTAAATGTGAAAGAAAGAGAGCAGATATCACCATGGTTTCCTATTGAAATTTCTTGTGCAGGATCATAATTTTGGCATAAAAATTGCATTTTAAAATTAAACACTTTCCTTTATTTTTTACCTTTTGACTCAGCCATTAGACAAGGAAAGTTATGAAATATAATTAGTTTTGCCACCCAGTACCCCCCGCCTCCCATATGGTTATAACAAATCATTTTGACTTCAAAAAGTAAAATAGGAGGTGCACAATGGCCATAATAAAGACCATGAAATCAAATACATGGTGAGAAGATGTTCCAGAGAGTCAGACGGACGGACGGAATTAACGATAACTATATACCCTCCCGCTTTTCAAGCGGGGGGTATAACTAGTAAACAGAATGATTACTAATCACGACGAACGCTTTACGAGGCACACTGGTTAAATTTACTAGGTACTGTAACACATCAAATTTGACTTAACAAAATACATACTGTACATTATTTTCTTGTTACATGTACATATAGGATCATTATTTTGTCATACCTTGCATCAAAATGATGGGAGACATTAAAGCTTCACAGATAATAATGGAAAATGAGATGGAAAGTTATAATATTAAGTTTTGTGATTAACACATACCTGTATCGGAAATAAATTTTTTTCTATATATTAAAAAATAATGCTGCATATTTCTAGTGGGTTTTTTTTTTTAATTTTGTTCAAAGAATTTATCATAAACATGACATGGGGAAAAAATTTTGGATCAAAATGTCAAATTGAAGGCCACAACAAGAGTTAGAATTTTGAAATATGCTTTATATAATATTTGCTAATAATGATCCAGATTATTAAAAGTTCTGCAAGAATTATATAAAATTTTAAATCCAGAAGCTGAATTAAGATTTTACACCATTCTACCAGAATAAATAAAGTCATATGATTATAATGGCAAAGTCCATGTTTTGCTACAATTTCTAAATTGTAATAAAGCATTGTGAAAGTTTCATTAAATTTCAATTTGATTCACCAAATTTTTATAATAATTCACATTATGACTCAGGCTACAATTTCTAAATTGCAGCATTGGAGAATTTAATTTGATTCACCAAATTTTTATAATAATTCACAAGAATCATCTTTCTTTTTTTTCTAGAAATTTCTACATATTTCAACTGTATTTTTCCATGTTGAAAGAAGTTTTATGAATTAAAGTTACGAAATCCAGTCCAAATATAGGCATATCACTTCCTTTTGATGATCCTAAAAAATGCTCAGTATTTGTAAAAATTCTATGAACTATGCATAGACTTTCTAACATGGGCATATCATATATCACAATTTGAATTCCAGTAAATGGTGCATTTAGGAGATTTATGCTGCATTAGTTTCAGCCAATGAACAAATCTACTGGGACTACCACTATACTGCAATTATGCCTTATTGTGTGGCAAAAGCAAAATTCCAATAGCAATTTTCAATTTTAACCTCATTTTTGGTCTTTCAAAATTTAAAAAAAAAAAATAAAATTGAAAAAAAAAACTTACCCTGAGTATTTCCTGAACATTTGGCCTCACAATCTTCTTTGGTTTTGAATCTGTTGTCATTCCCTTCACACCCTCCATACCAGAATCTCTCACACCTCCTGGATGTACTGTTGTAGAAATGGAGCACAGTATAGTTCCTGCAAGGTCCCCTCTCTGGCTTCAAGCCGCAGAAATCTGCCACAACAGGAGAACAATTGAGAATAAAGATCACACTAATTCCAACGATCCCACATAGGATATTTTGAGGTAGTATCCACTTGTCCATCATCAGTTAATTTTGCTGATGCTTTCTCTCCCGAAAAACACCAGTTGATTAAGATGGAACCAAACTATTGCACATACACACACACCAACATCCAAAATCTCTCTTATTGAGAGAGAGAGAGAAAAAAAAAAGTTCACGAAACTTAATCAATATAATAATCCCTCTGAATCTAACTATCAACGGGAACTCAGACAGTAATAATTCCAATGTAAATCAACTCTGTGTAAAATTTCCGCTCATGCTACAACTTAACCTTTTATTTCAGAACAGTTAAAATTCCACATACTAAAAATACAACCCGAAAAAAAAATCCAATCAACACTAGGCTACTGTACTTTAAAAAAAACTTCACCACTGTAATGAAAGTATTTAAAATAAGTTATAGTATACGGAAAAAGAAAATATCCCCAGCTTGTCTCACGCTTTAAATCCCCATAACACAATATTGGTCAGTGCTAGTCACGGATTTCTACACCCGGTCACACACTATTATGATCTGCATTACTTTAATGGGCCCCTAGACCAAAAAGAGGTGGGAAACACTATTTCCTTTACGAGTTGAAGCTCTTTGTATGTTTATTATCTAGAAACTCCTCCCCCTCGACCTAGCTTGGCATTATAGGCAGAGAGAGAGAGACAGACTTTTTTAGGGTCTTTACCTGACCAAGATAAAATGCCATTCAGAGTGTGCTACTTTAATGAAAACCTGATTACACCTGGAATTCAGGTAGCTGTTAAAATTCTTGTTTTTTACATCCAAACAGTCCCAAATATGGAAACTGCAATTCTACACTTATTTCTATGTCACTGACTATGCTTTAAAAGCTTTGGAGAATTTAAACAAATAAGCTTAGGGATGATAAAAGTGTGCAAAGTTGGTAAACATTTCTTATATAACCCTCTCTTTCAGAACTAATCCCAGTCAGTGTTTGAGAGAGACCCTCTTGTATAGTGTCCCATCATTTGCTTGGTATCTAACTGTAAACAACTGTCTTATCCTCTGTCTGAATTAAGTTTCTCATAAATATACCTGTACTGAAAAAACCACAGAATCATGAGTAATTCAGAGAAACTGGTTGTACAGGTAAATTTTTATCTCTGAGAAAATCTCTGGTACATACTAGTATATATTGGAGAGATCAAGGAGAAAAAAATTTCTCGAAACTGAATGAATGATTTCAAAATCATACCATGAAATTTTTCATGGTTTGATTCTCTAAATTACAGGTAAGGGCAGGTGTAAAACATTATGACCAACATTGTAAAAACCTCATTGGGTATTTAAAAATAACAATAATTCCGTAAGTCCATTTGGTGGAAAACCTATCGTAAATGATATCTAGTAAGCAGATAATAATATCTTCCTCTTCCGTAAGTTACGTAAATTACCTGAGTATTCATTCATTACCTAATTGGTGGAAATATTTAAATCTCCTATCCCAAGTATTCTAAAGAAAGATTTCAAGCAGTTAAATTGAATTTCATAATACCAGTCAAAATAAGATCTTGTGTATTGTCCATGTGTTTCATTATTGGTTTTCAAATCTTTCATCTTTCTTGGTCTGGGGCAACAGAGACCATATAAAACTTTTAACAGTGCTACATCTGACAGAAGATTAAATCTCTGCCGAACAATACCCAGCTTGATGACTATCTTTTTTTTCGATCTTTTTTCTTTACAATACGCCCGTTCATTCTGACCTAAAAGTCTGATCCTATAAGATCAGCTCCCTATATGTAAGGATGGAGATTTTACGAATTAATTATTGAAGCCACAACTGATTCTTTTGATCAGAATGAAAGTTTTTTCCCCTCCCTCCAGCTTACAAATCCAGAAGTAGTATTCTCGATGTTACACTTATTAGCTACTTGATGTATTGAATACACACAATGATGATGTCTGTAAACTTCAAGCATTGGAGACACACTAGTCTACAAGAGCCTGAGGGACTAAGATTTACATTCGAGATATCATCAGTGTTATGTAAGAAATCAAATATTTAGTAATGAACCAACAAATTAAAAGAGAAGTAATGTACATTTAAGGGTCTTTACTACACTCTATGGTTATAAGTTTGAAATGGTAATGTGACTAATGTTTGATCACATCTTTAAAATCTGAATTACGCAGTTTTTCAAAATCCAAATCAAGAATCTAGGTCATTGAAATCAAAATTCTAGAAACATCTACACAACTGAATTTACACATAAATTTTTCAACGGCATTTAATGTAGGCATTTTCAAAGTAAGAGAATATAAAGTTTAATTTTTAAAGAAGTTTTTTGGGTGGGTGGGGGGTGAGATGTGTGTGTGTGTGTCATGATTTGCATCACAATTAATTGTACATGAAAATATCTATTAGTGTATATATATAGGATACATGTCAACACCACAAAAGAAAATACTTTCCTTATAATTTAATCATTATAATTTTAATGTGTTAATTCCATGGGTATTACAGCATGCAGTTCTTTGAACAGAGTCCAGGTGTAAGGAAGGCTGAAATAGAATCTTAATTGGGATATAAACCCATTATTGCGGACACTGGCCAGCCTGGGTATATAGTGTAGATATTATGTAAATATATATCTATTAGTATAGGCTACATATTAACTCTATGACAAAAAAAAATCCTAGCCCTTTAATCATTATAATTTTAATGTGATAGTTTCATGGGTATTACAGCATCAACACCTAGGAATAGACACTTAGTGAACGGACACCACAAGGTGTCTGAAAGGCTCAAATAAAATCTAAACTAGGATCTAAAGCGATTACTGGACATATGTCAGCCAGGGTGATATACAAAGAGTAAAGATTTACTAATGGGAGAAATAATGTGGTGTCCTTTAGCAGCTGTAAAACTATTTAGGGGGAATAAAAATGTCTGGACTGTGTCTGAACTGTGTTTTAGATAACACCCCTCTAAATTATTAATTCTTATGCAAATTTATGCATTATATTTACTTTAAATAGTTATAAAAAAATTAAAAAGTTAAATAATTAGCATTTAAAAATCATTACAATTAACACTTGGATTTTGGGTTGTTTGTCTTGGGTTTCTTTCCAAAGGTACTTTTTGAAGGAAGTGCATTGGTTGCTTAGTGCACCTTAGGAAAATCATGTGTAAAAGTGTATGATATGAAATTAAAAAAAAAAAAATTAAAACCAAAAAATTTAACAAATGGGCCCATGGGCCACAACACTCACTGAGTCACCTTGGATTTTTTCTTAATTTTCTTCAAAACAGTGGACCCACCTTTTTTGGGGGGAGAGAGGGGCTAAGTTATGATCAAACCTGAATCTACACAGCACAGACAAATTATAAACATTCTATCCTTAATAAGAATTCTAACTTTTAAATAAAGGCATTTCTTGGATTCTCTAGTGACCAAATCCTGCTCAAAGTGATCAAACTGAAGAAAACCAGAAGTCTCTGTCAAGACTGAAGCTCTACTGGTTTGTACTTATAGCAAAGGAAGAGAAAAGTACTTAAGCAGTTGGAAATTGAAACTTTTCAACAGCAATAAATAGAATAATGATCCTTGATTAAGTCTCTTTATGTTCTTAGTGCAGTCTACTTGCATGCCACATTTATATTATAATCAGACTAAAATTGTATTTGGAGTAGCATTTTGAAAGAATTTCACAAAAATTTCTATTTTTAGTAACCACGGCAACACCGTTCATCGAAATCAAAAACCGATACACAGAATTATGTATCTTATTGTAGTCTACTTGTGTGCCAAGTTATATTGAAATCAGACTAAAACTGTAGAAGGAGTAGCATTTTGAAAGAATTTCACAGAAATTTCTATTTTTAGTAACCACAGCAACACTGTTCATTGGAATCAAAAACTGATATTCAGAATTATGTATCTGAGTGTGGTCTACTTGTGTGCAAATTTACATTGACAGCAGACCAAAACTGTAGTAGTAATTTTGACAGGATTTCACAGCAATTTCTACTTTTAGTAACCACAGCAACACTGTTCATCGAAATCAAAAACCGTTACACAAAATTATGTATCTTATTGTAGTCTAATTGTGTGCCAAGTTATATTGAAATCAGACAAAAACTGTAGGAGGAGTAGCATTTTGAAAGAATTTCACAGAAATTTCTACTTTTAGTAACCACGGCAACACCATCAAAATCAAAAACCAATACACAGAATTATGTATCTCAGTGTAATCTACTTGTGTGCCAAGTTATATTGAAATCAGACCAAAACTGTAGGAGGAGTAGCATTTTGAAAGCAAAAAAATATGTTTATCTTAGTGTAATCTACTTGTGTGCCAAGTTATATTGAAATCAGACCAAAACTGTAGGAGGAGTAGCATTTTGAAAACGGACGACGGACGCATTACTATCGCATAAGCTCTTCTGGTCTCTGACCAGTAGAGCTAAAAATTAAATCTACATTACCTGAAGATGTTTGAACATTAAAATTATCATTAATCATAGCCCTACTGTCATTTAGAGGACAAAAAAATAAGATTTTTTTTTCCATTTATATTTGCAAAATGTGCTTTCATCCCCTATTATGGCCCAACCCTACCTCTTAGGAGGGGTATGATTTGAACTGCATTTTGAAACAAAATGTATCCTACAGATTTTATTTCCTTCATATATTCCCTGTACAACTCGACCCTCGATTTCCCCATTCCCTTGGTCACTGGTTTGCAGAAACACATCTTCACTACTAGAGTCGTAGAGAATGTTTGCATATTTTTAGTAATTTTCATACATTAGCTCATCATAAATTTTGATCTTTTATTGTGTCCCCAAACTTTGAACAAAAGTGAATTTACATTAAGTCAAGATGTTTTTTCATATTTTCAAGAAGACATTAAGTTTTTAAAGATATTCATCCTATTTTGTCTTTTCTTGATCATCTTTCCTTTTAG